CAGATGCTGCGGCTCCTCCAGGAGTTGCGTGTATCCCCGAAACTTGGACAAGTCCAAAGCTCGTCCCACTGCATTGTGTTTGTGAACCTTTGAAAAGTAGAAGAGATTCAGAGTCTGGAGGTTCCAAAACATTTTTGTTTAGATAAAGTGTAGAGATGTTAAAATATAGTATAAAGTTAAGTTTGCCATGAACTTTAATTTTTATATATTGGTAATGATTGTATTAGAGTACAATTGCTTAACTCACAAACTTAACTTTTCAACTCTGTGAACTCAAGAGTGGTTTATGTTCATATGCATGAAAGTAAACTTTGATAAGAAAATTCAGGTTATGCAAAAGCTTTGAGCACATGCTTGTGCTCTTGTATGCTAAAGATCTTCAAACAAGTCTTTAGCTCTTGGTTTTGTGAACAATTCTTTTTTCTTGACATGATGCTTATCTAAGCATTAGCTACCCCACAAAGGGACTTAGAATTCGCTTCACAGATCTTTGATATATAAACCTTGCAGTTCATGTTCTCTAAAAACATGTAGCAATATTGTTTTAGAATCACTTAATTTAATATAAATTTAAGGTATATGCTGGTTAATGGTTTTTGCTTATACTTTACATTTTTCAGGATGGAAATATGCAAGAGGACGCTGAATGAATTACCAGATACAACTTGTTGGTGAGTTGGATTTACTAGGATGTTATATTACTAGTCCTACCTTCAGCTACACACAGCAAGCCCACTGATATAGTTTTTATATATATAATATCAACATTACATGTAGAAATACAATGTTCTTTTCTTACTCTAGAACACTGATACATTCTTCCATATGAAGAGAACATATTGGATAGGATAGTCCTAGTGTCTAAGACCCTGCAAAAGTAGCTGATGTCCTGGTGTAAACTTGGTCCTTACTGTGCTTCTCTCGCGGACCGTCCGATGGCGGGGAGAGGCACTGTGCTCCATAGAAGGATCGAGTTCACAAAGTCCACGTCTCGGACAAGACGGAGAAGCGTGCTTGAAGCGGCCGTTTAAGTACTACAGCTTGGGTGTGAGTAAGTCTCGCTCGATTCACGTAATCTTTGGTGTTAAATCTCGTATTGATCCATCACATGGCGCTGTGCTTGCCCGAGTTTGCAAACACTCGAAGAAGAAAGTGGACTGTTTGGAAAAGAGGCTTACGGCCTTGATGTTTAGCCAGGGCTCTCGGACAAGGCACACGTGATCAAACACCGGGGTCGCAGCGCCCGTGCCACTGCCTCCTCGAACACAACTTTTGCTTGTGAGTGTGTCTTCAAATGGATTAAATTTTGAGAGCTTGGAAACCGTCTGACAAAGGAATTTCTACTTCGACCAGACTCTTTCGAATATCCTCGTTTTCTTGAATAATCACGCCAAACCAAACAATTGGGCATGAAAAGTTAAAAAAAACTCCAGAGGTCTGGTCTTTTCCAGGGGCCCCACTGAGATCTCTTGGAGTGTCAAACCTGGGATTCCTGGTTTAGTTGTCATGTTTGGTGCGTCATTCACGAGGAGTGAAGCTGAGCGAAGAAGGCCAAACTTCAGCCACAGAGCAGTAGCTTATGCATGTGTAGCCAGAGATGATGACAAGAACAAGTAGAAAAGGCTGTAGAAGTTGTCTTACGAAGGAAAACAGAAAAACAGCCAGAGGAGGAAGAGTGGGGACCTTGTCAAAGTTCACCAATACCTCAGCAGTAGCAACAACCACCTGATCAATCAAATCCAGTTGTCAACATGGTGGCACCAGCAGTGACTAGCAGGATGAAGTATCCCATGTACACAACGTTTGGATGAGCATGTGACCACTTTTAGGAAAGTGAGCACAGCCAACAAGAAAGAGCAGCTTTTATGCCTTGAAGAATGCATTTTTAACTGTTTTTCACCCTGAACCTTGTTTCCAGAAGAGACCATCCAGGGGTATGCGATGAGATTTCAGCAATTTCTTTTGAAGAATGATCTGCTACCTATCAAGTGAGTTACTTTTGGCAATGCATGAAAATTCTTCCTTAAATATCCAGAACGTCATGCCAATGTGACAGGCTGTGTCCAGATCAGGTCATACACATTACCAAAAGTACCTCAGTTAACTATCTACTGCAATATATGGATCCTTCTTTGAAAGTTGCTGTAGAAATCTCATTACATACCTATGGATAAATTTCTCCTGGCAACACATGCAAGCTCAGGTTGCAACTCCATCATTAGATATGATCAAGGGCATTTAAAATTCACCTCAACTAGTGTGTAAGATGAATCTATTTCAACTCCAGCAAGTGAGGGTACATTGTCAATTCTGTGGCCGAACTAATCATGCATTAGAAAATTGTTTCTATCATTCTATGAGAGCTCAATTAGCAGCTGTCTACCAAGAGCTAACAACCTCACCAGGTGAGAATGCTACAGTACAGCACAAGCAACATTACAGGAAACGATCCAGCAACCCTTACCATGGCACCCATAGACGGACACAAACTTCCATCTTTCTTTTCCACACAAAAGGATGCTCCTAGTGTGCGGGGTGCCACGGTCTCAATTTGTGCTTTCACTGACTTGATAAACTCCATGCATTTAGAAATAGTCACTGAATCCACTCACACATACTTAACAAAGGCATGTGTGATCACAAAATCACCAGGTGATGTATCCTTTTGCAAATGCTTTACCTGGAACAGATCATTCACCTTTGTTACTTCTGTGTTTTAGAAATTTTGATTTGGGCTTTACCTTTGCTTGTAACTTCAAATCTTTAGTTGTCGTTTTTCTATCGTAAAGGAGCAATCCATGGATTCTACGCCCTAATCGCTGGCAGATTGATTTCTCGCGGTCTTTGGATCTAGTGCTCCAATCTCATCTCCTACAACATCATCCTCGCTGCCTAATCCAATGCCATAAAAGAAAGGCTAGAGGGGATCAAGGATTTGTGTTGAAACAACCAGGTTCGCTCTTTCTTTTCGATTGCAACGCAAAAGGGAGCCAGTGACACTGCAAAACAACGCTCTCAACGCGAACTCACTGATGTGGACAACGCTGCGCAAATATGAACAATCAACAATACTTAGGTTTACGCTGCCATCTTTCGATTTTTTCTAATTTCTTGTCATGAAGAAGCCAAGCGACATGCTGGTGTTGCTCAACGACGATAAGAACTGAAAAACGCCATGTCACAGCGTGTGCCATACTAGGTTAGCAACGTTTTGGAGAGATTGATTGCTGTTCTCAGGGCAAGACCTGCGAGCTGAGAGATAACGCTGAGAAATAACGTTGGGCACCTGCGATCTTCAGAACTTGAAGACGTACATGACAATGGGCCAACCTCAATGATCATGATCCGTCGCTGATCCTTGACCGGCCTCGCACCTCTCCACCTCGTAAGGTTTCTTTGTGTTAGAAAGCGAGCTGCTATGCTTTAGGGCATACGCGACTAAGGAACCCGCTACAACGCAATCCTCCATGACTTGGGTTTGCAGCCAAATCCCGTTAAAAGGTTTTGCTTCTTCTGGATTCTTACAGGCATCCCATAAGATTTCACTGTTGAGATGCCATTCTTACGAACGAGAGAAAAGAATGACGTGATTCACTCGAGAAATGCTTCTGTCACCGGTGGTGATCGTCCCAAGTGACAAATGTTCCCCAAAGCGTCTTACTGCTTGAAGGATGTTCCCTCCTTAGAAGAAGGTAACGAAGAAGAAGAATCCTCTTCAATCAACCAAGTCGAGGAAATGAATGTTACCAATACTCGTAAAGGCGCAGGAACGAGCAAAGACCAGGTTGCCTCGGCAGCGCAAGACGTGTTCTATGGTCGTGACAAAACAAATCCCGCTAGAAAACATGCAAGTGAAAACTTTCATGCAAAGCCTCTTGGAAACTTCTGATGGCGATTGAGTCAAGAGCTTCGCGAGGCTTCTGGCCGCAACAAAAAGATAGCCAAGTCCCAGGACCTAGGCGAAAAACGAAAGGATCATCCATCACCACAGTCTATACGCTATGATCCACAAGACAAACCGTGGTTAAGAGTGCTTGGTTCACATGATCAGTGAGACCAAATGGAGCATTGTGTACGAGAGAATGAATGGAAAGATGATAATACGAAGCCGTGACGCCTTTGAAAGCTCCGGCCGCACACAGTGCTCCTAGAACCGAGCCTGTGATACTCTGTCACACAGAGGAAATACAATCACACGATCAAAAGAACAAAAGGAAAACAAATCTAAGAAAACCTGCTGTCCTCTGCGGCCTCCAGAATCTAGCCGGCTTGACGTGAGTTTGGAGCGCTGGAGGAGGCGTAGGGAATCGAGGGCGTCACAATCTCCATCTCCTGTCGCTTCCTGGAGCTGGGATCCTCCTCGCGGAGAGTGCTGCTGCTCCTGACGGTCGGCGCACGAGGCGACCCAACAAGGATCGCAACACACAGCCCTATAAAATGAATGATATTTTTCTGTCAATCTAGGACAATGTGCGATAAGCACGTTCTTCTCGTGGGATCTTCGGGAAGAAACGTCTCGTGTGGGATGATCTAAGTTTGTCAGTGTATTTCGAAAGTCTTTTTGGTGTTCTTTCTCCCTCTCGAGTGTTTTTGTGGTTTTTGTGGATTTCATCGTTGGTTGCAAAGATGGTTGTGAGCGTAGAGTCCGTGTCCACGATCGTTCCAGCGGTCCCAACGCCGCAGCCCTGCACTCTCTGGCTTTGCAACTTCCAAATCCAGGTCCTGGCCGAGAACTATCTCAAGCAAGTCTACTACTACCCAGCTGCATTGGATCACGTAAGCTCTTTCGATTCGCTGGTGGCGAGCTTGAAGGATTCGCTCTCCCGGATCCTCGTCCCGTACTATCCGCTCGCGGGGAGGCCCAGGATCGCCGGCCTCGACCGCCCCATCCTCGAGTGCAACGACCGCGGCATCGAGTTCGTGGTGGCCTTCGCCGATGCGAGCTTCGGCGACTGGGGCGATTCCATGAAGCAGTGCTCCATCGAGCAGGAGATCAGCCCGGCCCAGACCGCGATCACCGATCCGGAGAACTTCCCTCAGCTCAAAGTTCAGGTAAGTCCCGGTTCTTCGCGGTTTGACTGAAGTTGACCGGCTTTGGTCGGCTTTGACTACTTTCCCAGGTGACAAGTTATAGCTCTCGTCACCACACCCTCCTGGACGGCTCCTCGGTCTTCCCCTTCCTCAAGGCCTGGTCGGAGCTCCACCGGGGATTCCCACCGCCGAATCCACCGCCCAGCTTCGACTCCAGCCTCCTCAAGGCGCGGGATCCGCCCTGCGTCACCGTGCCGGTCCGGGACTTCGTTGCCCTGATCCCCGCCATCGCCGAGGAGATGGGCAAGGCCGCCCAGGACTTCAAGCCCAGTTACCACGTCCGGGCATTCCACATGAACGAGCAGCAGCTCGCGGAGCTCAAGCACGACCTACGGCAGCAGCCCGACCTCCTTCGAGGCCGTCTCGGGTCTCGTCTGGAAGTGCATCACCGAGGCCCGTGACTTCGACGACTACGCGGTGTCCACCAAGGTGGGCAGAAACCGTGGCAGCCACCGATGCCGAGCGAGTACACTCACGAGGATGTCCGCAACGTAGGCCAGGAGAGGATCCAGTCCACCATCGACTGGATGGAGGAGACGCTGCGCAAGGGCCATGATATCGGGCTCAACGTCCCGCCACCCAGCACCGGGATGGGGATCTACAGCGTCAACTTGCACTCGTTCCCAGTGTACCACGGCTCCAGCACCATCGAGAAGTGGGCCGGTCGCCCCCACCCAAACTCAAACTCGTATGGCAACGGGGTGGTGGTGCTACTTCCCACGCCCCAGGGCGGGATGCGAGAGCACCGGATTGTGGTGATGCTGCTCGAGGAGCAGATGAAGAGGCTGCTGCAAAGCGAGCTCTTTGCGAGGTTTACAACCCTGGACTGCTAGCTTCTCTCCTCACGGGAGCTTCAAATAAGATTCAGGACCTTTTCTTCCTCGAAGACTAAGGTGGCGAATGGTCCTCTTGACTCCATGGTCTAAAGATGTATGGGGCCTGTTGTTTCTGTGGTTTTCATCACGAACGTTTTCGACAGAAATCAATGCACGAAGGCTACTTTAGTTTTTAGAGGTGCTGCTCTTCATGAGTGGCATCGTCAGCTGTAAGACGTGGAGAGTAAATTAGTTTGTTCGTTAGGTTGTGCTGGTTGGAGTTGCAAGGATCAGGTAGAAATTCCGATTGAAGGATGTGCTCGAAAACAAGTGTTAAGTTGAATAATCAGTGGTTTATTTAAACGCTAGTAAAACAAGTGTTTCTCTCACGGCAGTCAAGCACTCCAAGTGCTGCTTCAAATTCAGTGTCGATCATCCTCAAGGACTGGGCTTCTTAATACACGATCGTGGATGGGTGCGCGAGCAAGCAATTCCAAGGGATGCTATTGGAGAGGAGGAACTTGCAGCTTTGATCCTCCAGCGGGCCTTGGCTCGCTTCAAGAGGGATGGATTCGGAGCGAAGAAGGAGATGCTTTAAGGAAGTAAAATTCCTTTGTTTGGCAATGAAGAAGTTCTTCAGCGTTTTCATCCTCTTTCAGCAAGGAAGAAGTTAAATCGGGAAGCCGCGCTAGCTCCTACAAACCAAGATCTTCCCACCTAGTCTCGATCGATCGAGCCTCTCTTTTGCTAAAAGAGACAAGCCCAAAGAAGAAGATGAATTTGAGGGATGAGCTCAGCTTGAACTTTCTCTCGTTGTGCCAAAGAAGTGCTCACCATTTTGAATGGCAAAGGCATACTTTCCCCCAGCGAGCGTCTCATGAAATCACAGCCTGCGACATCAAACAAACTTGTAGATCAATCACAAGCCGAAATGAAGGAACGAGCAGTGATCACCAGAGAGAAAGAGAGATATAGATCAAGTTCACATCTCAATTAACCAAAGAATCCATATATTCCTATAGAACAAGACTCTCCTCTCTCACCTTGCCTTGTAACTCTTGCTGCATACAAGAATAAGCAAAGGAGCGAGAGAAGATTTATAGCTTTGCTCGGACCATTCCGGCTTTTCCCACAGTAGCAGCAGAATGAATGAACCAACTTACGGCTCCATCATCTCACAAGCTCCTCCATCCGCAGCACAGATCATTGAGCAACAGCGAGGGAGCTTGGCGAGGCGATGGCGGAGCGGCACCACCACAGGCACTCGATGATTTGCACTGGCGCATCGTTCGCCAGGAGAACTCTCATCCTCGGGGGGCATAGCTGCCGACGAGAACATTATTGTCTCCTCAGCCCAAGGATGAGGACTCGACTGGAGAATGTAGTGACAAGTTCGCATCATCCTCCTGTATAAATACACGCCAAGGCACCACTGTGTCAATCAATCATCACGCGAACTAAAATAAAAGATGCAAGCTAGAGAAAAGTACCGACATGGCGAGGTAAAGGAAAATTATTCTAAGTGAAAGGAGGGACTCAACCTTTAGCTTGCACAGACCGCCATTTGCAACACCAGCCGACAGCACCACTGACTGCAACACTTTCCCATCGAACACAATCTCTCCTCCCTCCAGCACAGCCAAGCCAAAGCCTCCTCCTGCTCTCCCTCGCTTCTGATCCACGCAACTTGGCCCTTGAAAGCTACACCCACGAAAACACTGCACATAAAAGAAACATGAGGCTTAGAGAAGCTTCTATGGAGTGAGAGAAAAACCGGGAGCTCTCTTCTTACCGCGGCAAAGCATAACTAGGATCATCCTCCCGAGGTCGCTACTCAAAACAAAACATATGTAAGCTGAAAAGAAGGATTAGAAAGGCTGCTGCTTTGCAGAGAGAAACGCAAAAAGAGAAGAAAAAAAGAAAACGAAACGCGCTCACAAAAGCTTTGGGCTGGTCCAAGGACAGCAACTCTCCCCTCACACCTCTGCAGGGTCCATGATAAAGCTCTCAGGAAACTTTGCTTTCAAGCTCAGATGCAACAAACCGGATATAAAATTCTAAAAGAACAGCGTATCAGAGCACAGCGCAGCGCAAAACAAATGTACGTACCTTTTACCCCACATAAAAATACACACCACAGCCCTGACTGTAGAGAAAGGAATGTTGGCATAAAGTAGATATCCCGTATACGATACGCACTTTAGAGCTTGATGATGGTGATGGCAATTTTCTCGTCCCGCTAAATCACTCACCACAGTGGTGAGAGATTCCGTTCTTCCCAATCAAGATCCCCCTTAAGCTCGGCCAAGGCCTGCTTGAAGTTGCCCCCTGCGAGTGCCAGATAGTACTGTGCCGTCTCACTATCAAGCCTCATGCTTGTCTTCATGGAGCGGAAAACCGTGCTTTTCAGGCTTGAGGCTGCCACCTTGGGATCGTGGAGGGGTCCCAAGCCATCTGGATAGATGACTGCCATCTCGCGACGCGAGTGGAGGTCCATTTCAATGAAGCAGACCTTGCCTCGCAGAGCGCAAGGGCTTGTGACGGGAATAAGCAGCCTGTCCCTCGCACGGATTCCATGGTCGCTCAGCATGTTGTTCAGGCGCCGTATCTCAGAAACCTGTCCGATGGAAAACAAGGAAATCAGTTGCGTAGATAAAGAGATTCTTATATGCACAGATGAATCGCCAAGCGAATAACTCTGAAACTCAAAAGAGCAAGAAAAGAGCAAAGAATCTCTCGACAGGATGTAGCTATCAAAATCATCGAAGAACAAAACTTATAGAGCCAGAGAGAATGAGAAAAATAAAAAGGAAAGAGAAAGGGAAAAACTGACAGCATGTCGCTATAAGCAAAATTGCAATTTGATCCAAGGAACTCGCAAACCACACCGTGTAAAACGAAGAACACTCAACTCAACTCACCTGGACATTGTATTTGATAGCCAACGCCGCGACACTGTCCGACTTCGTCACTGGATGGGAGATGGCGAAGCAGCCCAGGCCCGACGCCTTCCACAAGCTGGGAGTGGACGGCACGCCCACCAATTGCTTCAATTCCCATGGCGCCGCGAATGCGGCCGCGATCACGGCAGGATCCGCCGCGAATTCGCGCCAGGAGCGACAGACGCAGGCAGCGCGCGCGAGGCCGGGCACTGGCAGCTTGGCGAGAATCAGCCGCCATGCATCGCCATTCTCCATCGATCCAAAGCCCTAAATTTGCGAGAAATATCAAAAGGGTTGAAAAAGTCCAGCCCTACAATGCCACGTAAGATCTCGTGACGTGGACAAACCATTTAAAATTCCACGTGTGAGAAAGGACTTCTAGGGTTTGTGGAGTGAGCTCGAGCGGAGGGCTCCTCGATTTCCAGGTACCGGCGTATTCTTCCAAAGAGATCGAAGAACTCTGTGGTTGCGCGCGTTTTCTTTCATTTATTTTCTCGGATTTGCGCCTCGAGAACACGAATGGAGGCGGAGGTGTGGTCGTCGCGAATTGCGTCGTCCAAAAGGGCTCAATTGCTGCAAGCATCTCAGTCCTTGTTAGGTGCGCTACCAAGATTTCGCGTTGTTTTCTCCCCTTTTCGCTGATCTCACCGACAGATCGACAACTAAACACGGAGGACTTGGAAGTGGACGAGGATTTGCGCACGGATTTCGCGTGCCCTTACTGCGAGGAAGAGTTTGATATCACGTCCTTGTGCTTGCATCTGGAGATAGAGCACTGCTTCGATGGGAAGCTCACTGTAAGTCGGCTCAAAAGAAAAAAGTTCCTTTTTTTCTCCTTTTTTCGCTTTTCTTTTGTTCTTGTTCTTCGACTGAAACACGATGCTTATGCAGATGTGTCCCGTGTGTGCTGCGCGGGTCGGGGACGTTATTGGCCATATAAATTCCGATCATGCACATCTCAAGATATCCTTTTTCCTCTTTTTGTGTGTTTTCTGCGTTTTGTTTTGGGAAAAACATGCATTTTCTTTAACCAGACACCACAGGAGAAGGCTTCGCAAGCCCAAAGATATCGCGGGGAACTTGCAAGCACTGTTGGGAGCACAGGGGAGAGCGTCGGATTCGTTTCTTCTCTCCCTCGTTTCGGGGTTTCCAACCTCCGAGCCGGAGGTCTTAAAGTCGGGCTTACCATTCTCAGTGGCGAATTTATCTCCGGACGAAGAAACAGTAGAAGAATTCACCACCAGGTACTTCAAACTCTAGTTTTTTTAGGCCGAGGATCATAGATTTTGATCAAACTTTTGTTTCTTCTAGCTCTGGATCCCCTTCGCTATCGTCGGAAGAGAAGAAGGAAAGGACGAAAGAGGCCTCCTCTAGAGCACTCTTCGCGCAACACCTTGTGCTCTCCACACTTTGGCGAGAGCCATGACGAGATTCCATTCGAGATAGAGATACGCAAAACTCCACGAGTTTATATTTATATAGACCAAGAGGGGTACTCCACACAACTATTTTACTGCCTGATATTTTCCGGTGGGAGTTTTGTGTGTTGCCTTCCTGAATCACAGGAGAGAGCGCGAAAGAAGAAACGAGATACTTTCTCCGCTATCACAGCTCTCGGAAATAATCACATTAAATTTTACACAGACGAACGAGACGCGAGCTTGTTTGCCTTCTTCCAACCTTGAAAAAAATCCAAGTAATAATACATTGATGAGGGGAAAAAAAGAAGGCTTTGCAGCGATGGTGGAAGAAGAAGAAAGAAAGAAAAAATCTTACCAGAGTTCTTTCTCTTCTACTTGATGCTACATTTGGCGCCGGCAGCCTCTAGTTGCTTCTGTGCGTCCTCGGCGTCGTCCTTGGCGACGCCCTCCTTGATCTTCTTGGGCAGACCCTCGATGAGATCCTTGGCCTCCTTGAGACCCAAGTTGGTGATGGCGCGAATCGCCTTGATCACGGCAATCCTGGCGTTGCTGGGCACCTCGTCGATCAGGAGATCGAACTCGGTCTTCTCCTCCACCACGGGGGCAGCCTCCGCCGGCGCGGCGCCGCCCGCCATCGCCACCGGCGCTGCGAACGTGGCGGCGCTCACCCCGAGCTCGGTCTCCAGCCGCTCCACTAGCTGCCGCGCCTGCTCCAGCGTCAGATTCTTCACCTCATCCACGAGCTTATCCAGGTCCGCCGCCGCCACTCGCGTCCGGAGCCGAGAGAACCTCGCAATTGCTGCGCCATCGCTGCCAAATCCCAATGCCAATCCCAATCGCGGCGCTCTGCCGCTGGCGCCGCTGGCATTCAATCCGCCAGGCCCCCAGGAGCTCTGCGTACCTCTGTTCGCGAGCATCGCGACCGGAGCCATCGTCGCCATAGCTCCCCTGCTCGCGTTTAGGGTGGGCAGGATGGAATAGGGCTAACGTGGACGTTATCGAGAATGCAGGACTGTGGCTCGGCCACGCCGCCACTCAACGCCATGGAAGCATCCGACTCAGCAGTGCCACGTCATAACAAGAATGTGTAAAAATTATAAGATCAAAATACAAAGAATCGCGAGAAGAAAAAGGAAAGAACGAAAGCCTCCACTCCATGAAGCCGCGCAGCACCGAGAGACGCGCGCGCGAGAGAGAAATACGCCGAAATCTCGCGAAAGATCCACCAGCATTTCCTCCCGGCGCTCCAGGAAATCCCGCGCGCGCCGCCGAGGATTGGAGGAGCCCATTCTCCCCTTTCTTCGTCGCTGCTCATCCCAAGAATCCAAACACCAGGGCGGCCACGGCCGCCGCAGCTCCAACCGCGAGAGAGGACGAGGCGAGGATTGGAGAAGCTGCGCCTTCCACGGGCGCTGGGGCGGGCGCTTGCGCCATCGCGGCCGCCGCTGATAGAACCACCACCGCGACGAATGCCGCTAACCTGAGAGCTGCCGCCATCGCCGATTCCCTTCTCTGCCCGAAAGAAATCCCTCTCTCTCTCTCTCCCTTTGGCCTTTCTTGTTCTTGGAGCTCTCAAGCACACACAACTTTTTTAGGGGTTTGATGCTTTAAGTAGATGGCCAAACCGCCGCCCAAATGAGCTGTAATCAAGAGGCAATCCACCCACATCAACGGTGGACATTAGCTAGGTTAAATTTTTTAAAGTGCGAGTGTGAGTGGCTCTCACATGTCCTCCAGCCTAGACAATGACAATGCAAGGCTGGCCTTTAGGTGATATACCCCATGTTTATGCCTTGGCTTTTTGCAATATATTGCATAGCTTAAATCAGTGCAGTAGTGGTGGAACCCATGGTTTTATAATTCTCTCAAACTTTATTCTTTCTCAATCATTTGCACTGGTTTTCCAATGTTTGGCAAAAAACCATTCTTCTTCCAGGCCATGGAAAAAAAGTCTCACACCTTTCCCTGTCTGCGATCGTTATTCGGAGATTCTAAAACCAATGGACTGGAAAACGATCTATTTCTCGAAACTGTACATAGGATGCTTGATAGTCGCCCCACTCAAACCGTTAGAAGGCGAAGAACCAGCCAAGCCAGCGGAAATTTTGCTTACAGGAGGATGATGCGAGAAAAAAAACCAATTTTTCGATGGATCGAATCTTTTTTCCTTTACTTGTACAGACAACTGCAAATGGGATCAAGCTTTTAGCTGCAAGCCAACAAAAGCAAAAGGAGGAACTAACCATTTGCTCTCTTGCGCTTTGTCCTGCCGCGTCACGCGAGTATGTTCAAGGCACTGTCACCATGCTTGGACTCGCACAACCTTCCAAAGAAGCCACAGCATGCGTGCGCAGCTTTAATGAGTATGTTCCTCTTCTTTCTGGCCAGCTTCTCCTGCTGCTTTTGCTTGATGCTCTCGTGCAAATAATCGAAGATCGCCTGCGACAAACAAAAACGAAAACGAAAAAGAAAAAATCAAACTTTCCGCGAGAAAAAGAGAGAGAGAAAAAAAACAAATGCCATCCACATACCTGATTGCCTTTCTGCGTGACTTGCAGCGGCGGCACCCTCCACGGATTCCCCTCGAGCCGCAGCTTCCGCAAGTTCTCGAGCTGGACAAACGAGTCGGGCAGCTCCAGGATGCTGTTGTAGCTGATGTCGAGCTCCTCCAGCTGGTGGAGGTTGCCGATCTTGTATGGCAGGAACCGCAGCGCATGGAAGTTGGACGAGATGTCAAGCTTCCGGAGCGTGGTGACGAAGCACAGGCTCTCGGGCACGGACTCGAGCTGGTTGAAGTGCACGTCCAGCTCCGCCAGGCTCGTCAGGTACGCCATGGTGCTCGGCAAGCTTTTCAAGCAGTTGAGATGGACCGAGAGTATCCGCAGGTTGCCGAGGTAGCCCACCGCCTCGGGGAGAGCTTTCAGCTGGTTGAAGTCGGCCCGGAGCTCCTCCAGAGACTCGCAGTTGCCGATCGTCCACGGCAGCTCCTCGATGCCGTTCTTCTCGATGTTGAGCTGCTTGAGCGACGTGAGGCGGCCGATCGTGTCCGGCAGCGCCGTCAGCTGGTTGGACTGGAGGTCGAGCACGGTGAGCTGCGAGAGCTCGCCGATGCTATCCGGGAGCTTGACGATCCGGTTGCCCGACAGCTCCAGCACTCTCAAGTTGCTCAGCTGGCTGATGGAGTCGTCCAGCAGGATGTTCTCGCGGACAAACATGTCCACCGCCACCAGGCTCTCGGCCCCGCTCTCGGCGGCCGCCTGGATCATCGCCAGCAGCCTGGGCGGGCACTGGAGCGTCGCCGCCTGCCCGTCCTCGGCGATGGTTGACAAGGTCTTGGGCGCTACGAGAAAACTAAAAGTCAACGTGGGATTGTTCTCTCTGCGTTTTTTTCCTTTTCTTCCTCTCGTCGTGAAAGAGTTAAAGAAGTACCTGATCCAGAGACATCGGGAGTGAATGTCTGTGCGTTGTCGGGGTGATAGCCACCGTAATGGTTTTGCTCCATCGTCGCCATAGCTGGCTTCCTCGTTGGCTCCAAGCTGGCGGCGGCGTAGAACCTCTGCCCGTTGGCCACCACGTCGTCGGAGAACTCACCCGAGCTGGAGCTGTCGATGCCATTGAGCACCGAGGTGGCGCCGCCGCCGTTGGCCATGGATCCCGCGTCCGTGCCGCCGCTCGCTGCCGCTACCTTCTGGAAAAGTTGGTGGTGCCGCTGGTGCCGCTCCTCGAGCTCGATCACCGCCAGCCACGGCCGCTTGTGCTCCTCCACTTGCATTCGAAGCACGTCCTCGCGCATCTCCTGGAGCGCCCGGAACGCCGGCTGTGGAACACCCTCGGGCCGCCGCTCCCGCACGAGCTCCTCGAGCCGCGACGCCAGGATGTGCTCCGCCCGCGCCACCGCTGCCAGCGCCGCCTCGTACTGCTCCCGAGTCGGGCGGAGCGGCAGCAAGCTCTGCTGGATCATCACCATCTCGTGAACTACATCCTCTACGCATTCTACTCCTGGACCCATCCTGCTCTAGAGCTCTGCTCGTAAAACTCTTCCCAAATCCCACCCGGCCTGGAACGAATGACTGGAAGAACAAGAAGAAGAAGAAAGAATCTCCTCTCACTCACTCAATTCGCTGTCTGCTACGCCACTACTGCTACACTACTTAGTCGTAGTTCTAGTTCTAGTTCTACTGATACTTCTAGAATCTCCTTCGTCCTCATTCTTACCCAGATAGATGAGATCATAGCTCCGGAAGGTCAGGGCATGGCCAGGCAGGAATTAAAAACAGCGAGGTGGAAAAATAAAGTTGTCCACAGGAGAGATGTCGCTGTTCCCATCTGGATCGCCAATATCCATGGCACAGCACACACAACGCAACACACAGCACACTCACTGCCAGAGGAGGGGGCAAAGAAAGAGGAAAGAGCTCCAGTCGGGGAGAAACCAGCTCGCGCAGAGCAATGAATGCTCGAATCAGTGGCAAGTTGGAATTCACGGATTTTCCCACAAAGTAGAAGGCAAAGTCAAAAAAATATAAAGAGAGAAAGAAGAAAAGAAGAACACACCGAAGAAGAATCGTTGGGCCTGCTTGCGCGGCTTCGCTCGCGCTTCTCTGGAACGACCCTTGCAAATGGGGAAAGAATGTAAAGAGGGGAAAGGAAAATATCACAGCGAGCGCCTGACAACAACACTATACTGAATGACAAATCGCTAAGAAAGGAAAGAAAGAAAAAAGAAAACTATAAGAACAAAAACAAAACACGAAGCAAGTTACTGTCGTCGCTACTGTCGCTGCGACTGTGCCGAGGAGGCCGGAAAAATGCGACCCATCTGATGCCGGAGACATGTATGGAGGGACCGTTCATCACTCTCTCGCTCTCTCTTCCAAGACAAAATAAAAGCAAAAGAAGAGAGAGAGAGAGAGAGAGAGAGGTGAGAGAGAAGAGAGCGCGAAGATCACACGCCAATGCGACACAAACAACGCACACGGGACAAAAAAGGAGGAAGAAAAAAAAGACCCACTCACATACAAACGCGACGCACAATGGCGACGATGGCGCGTCTTCTTTCTTTCCCTCCACCGCTAACGATTAACGATGACCTAGACGAGGGTAGGATATTCCGTCAACCCTATCCATCCATAATCGCCGCCGGTACTTTGCTTAGCGACATTTGGACATTTTGGACGAGGGTGTTGAATGTTTCCACGTAAATAATTTCGAGACGATGGTTCTTCCGTGGAATGCATAGATTGATTTTTTTCCAAAAGTTGGGAGTAGGCCGGAGGAGGTTGACGAAAGTAGGTGTGAGAGAAGATCTCACTTTTTGTGCATATCAATCCAGCAAACTCCCCGCGCGCGCGCGCGCGCCACACAACGCTTTTGCATGGAGAATGCGAGAGCGCGTGTGTGTTCCTCTGTGAAAGCGCCGTGTCAACCACCAGCGCCCACATTTTCTCCTCCCAATCCCAATCTTCGCTAGCACAAAACTGCGCGTGTCAATCACAATAATGTACACTTACTCGATCTCCTCGTCCACGTCTGTCCTTTTTTCTTTTTCTTCTTCTTCTTCGATCGCCTGTTTGATGGATAGAGCAAGCGCGCGCGCGCGCTAGTTTGGCCTTGGAGCGATGCCTCTCTCCTGCGACCATATCGCGTCAATCGCTGGGAGCTCGTAAACATCCCACTGCAGAGAGAGGGAGAAATCTGGGAGCTCCGGAAGCTTGCTGTTTGGTAGCAGCTGTGAAGGATTAGAGCCGGAAGGTTGGAAATGGATATACCTGTGTTTCTGGCTCACGCCTTTGGTGGTGGTGATCCCAGCCCGGCTTGCAGCGTCCGGGATTTTTTGCGATAAGCTTTTCATTGCACCCCATACTGGAGATTTCCTGTGACGAGCCGAGTTGAATTCGGAGGTGTGTGAGTGCACAAAACTTACTTTGTCACCGGGGACGCAGCACTGAAATCTCTGCACAGTGTCCGGCTTTCAGCGAGGAACGCTTCGGCGGCTTGCAAAGAAGCGGCTGCTTTGCTTTTATCCGGCCCCTCCTCCAAAACCAGGCCGTGATAGTAATAAGCTGCGGCCTGTGCACGAAAGGAAGTTGCCATCTTGACTTTCGAATGCTTGTTTGAAGCTACTTCGTACCTTTGCCGAGGCACGTTTCCATTTTAGAAATAATACATGCTTTTCTCCCCAGTTGTTCTGCAAGCGGACTCGTTGAAGTCCCTCAAAGGCCTGTGCAGATCGTCAACGCACCTCATATGAGTGGAATCACATACTTATTACCATTTGCCAATACTTTACTGCCTCGCATGCTATTCTGCGCTTCACTGCCAATGTTGCTTTTAGATTGTCAATGGCCAGGCCCAGTTGAATCTCGAGAGTCTGCAAAGTTCATATACAAGTCAAAAGTTAAGCTCCGAGAACACCACTCAAGTGAGATACTCTTTAGTACTTGTCCCAATGCTTGCAACTGCAAGGATTTCAGTAACTCCTCTTGTACGTCAGCCGGGAATTTCGTCCTACAAATGAAACTTACGTACACGCTTAAGATAAAAGGGAGAGTTCTTACTTCAAGTCCTCGGGAACATTTGGATACACGCGCTCAACGCAGTAATCCAGAATCCGGGCGGCTTCTAGGAGCATCTCCACTGCAGCCTTCCTTCCTGAACAACACTTGCAAAGTTCTGAGATCGCCAGCCACACTTGATATCTTTACCATCATTCGGTCTAAGTCGCTGGTCTTCAGAGCTTGGTTTAGGCGTGAGCGTGAGATTGGCCTCTAAAAGCGAAAGCATAGCGAGGAGATGCAGCACCGAAAGGAGCTCATAGTACACGCTAGGCACGACGCTCTCCTGGTAAAAAAAGACAAGCATTTAGTATTATAAACGACCAATTCATCCTCGTGCGCAGTACCTTGATCTCGTCTTCCTGGTTGCTCCAGCAAAACTCTAAACAATTGCTCAGGCTGCCTTCCTCTCCTAAAGCTAAAATCAAGAGTCAGAGGTCACAGAACAGATTCTTCACGAAAAAAAAGTTTAGTTACGTACCTTCTGTCGTGGTCATCCCTTGTAATGCAGATAGATAATTCTCGAGAGCGCTCCGAAGCTCATAAATACTACTTGTTTCTGTCAAAAGGGGGAAATAATAAATATTTAGAACCCACCAGCGAAGGACAAGATCTTCCACCGCACGTACCTGACGCTTTGTTGTTTGCTTTCGCGATCTTGCATGCGTTCTCGGCAGCAGCCACCACTTTGGATCTTAAAGCTGCCAGTCTTCCAATTAGAGCGCTGGAGTAGTGCTCCCTGACAAGCGAATTCCCGAAATCCACCTTTCGAGGCAACCGGAGACCCGGGAAGAACACATACACTTCACCGAGAGTCGTCGACAGCGTAGCGTGCTCGTCTTGTGTTTTCGAGAGAGCGCATCCCATTTTTTTTTTCCTTCACTCAACCCAAGGGAGAACGAGAGCGAAGGAGAGAGAGAGGGAGGGAGAGGGAAATCAAGGAATCTGAATCGATCTTCCTAAGAACCAGCGCTTAACGCGATCTGGACGAGCTAGTGCGAATTATCGCCGCCCCAAGATGGATCTCCTACCGCTCCTGTGTTATTTCCTCGTCGATCGTCAAATTCGAGCAAGACTGTGCCATACTCTGGGACGATTTACCAGGAATCGGAATCGAGCGTGCTGCGGTGTAGAGCCTAAGCGATCGAACCAGGCGCCCCGGCCGATAAAACCCTAGCGCGATAGCTCCTTCCTCCGCTCCGGCATTTGATCGAAGGATGCTCTGAGCGTGGAGAGCTTAGTGAATGGAAATGTGGGGCAGCTCACAACTGCAATGGAGTAGAGCCTCGTGTCCGGAAAAAATGATTTTGGTGGGGGTTCGAATCTGGGCCCCAGACGCGTTCTAATCTCCCCGCCATCGGACGGTCTGCGCGAGAGGGAGCCTCCACAACGAAACAATTGATTTAATCGTAGAGATATTTAATGTAATGTGTGGTTGATCTAATCTCTGGGCCTTGTGTGTTGATTTAATCCTTTCATGACGTGCTTGATGTAGAGAAGCGCAAGCGAAACAGCACTTCCATGCCACCACGCCAAAATTCGATATTGACCGCAAGGAGAAAAGGGAATCAATCAATCACGAACAAGCAACGTCCAAGGAGTGATCTTGATCCGGGGAATATTCCTAATAATTAGATGTCACCGACCAGTGCGCTCGGATTCCACTATAGTTTCGCTGATGCGCGGAGAAAAAGCGGAGGGAAGATTCGCTTCTCGCCATCGTTGAATTCTCTAGATCGACTAAATCGATTCGACCCCCAGATCGATTTACCACGTCACAACACTGTGTGGTTGTGAGACCACACCACCGACCAATCCCCGATCGCGACAAGCTCTGCCGCTTTTGGAAATATCTATGGGCGGCGTATATGGTAAAACACCTTTTTAGTTTAAAGAAGAATCCCTAAAAGGAGAAATACCCTAAGACGGAAGAACCCTAAACTAAACTGGTCCGCTGCATTCTTCCTTCCACGCCCGCGACGTAATCCATGCCCATCGCCCGCGCGCGCGCGCTGCAAGTCGAGAATCTATCGGCGTCGCGCAGCGATCGAGCCTTGCATTGCGTCGTCCCAGGCGATGATCAGGAGGCGGATCATCGGATTTGCGTCGACGATGATCCAGATCGATGGAGTCATTGCCGTACCGCGCGAGCGCGGCGTAGGGCTCGCCATCTTCCTCAGGAAGAAATCCCCCCGGCCCGGAGCCTGGCCGTTGAGCCGAGGGCGTGAACAGGATGATCGAAGCTCTGCCACAGCGGCAAGCCATCGGCGGACTCGAGAATGAGGTTCCCGGAATCGTCCAGCGTCATGCCCCGATTCCTGACCTCCACAGCCCGTGTGAGGGCGCGATCCTGGAGCTCGGGCTCGATGGCAACCTCGTCCTCCGGCCGGAGGCGCTGTCAATCATCGCAGAGGGGAGAAGTGGATGGATCGTTGATCCACCGCGCCCCAAGCGCCAAGCAATATAACTTTTTGCTATAATAATGTATGATTTTCGGGCGGCATAAGACCATGGAGGTTTACTCACTCACTTGAACCTGCAATGTGCTCTTAGCTCCTCCACTCTGTAAAGATTAATGGCCGGTGTGTTATCGCTTGATTCTCCAGAAGGCTGGGGGGGGGGGTTCCTCTGGCTCCATGGAATTTGTTGAGGAAAATTGCGCTCCCCGGTGCAAATAGCTGACATCACAGAATTCAAAATTCGTAAACTTGGGTCCATTTCAATTTGCTGGCATTTTGTAGTAATGAACAGATTATACCAGATAAAATGCTGAATGTTATTTTAAGCTCCACTGTAATTCTGAAGAACCCTAAAATCATGGCGACCCGCTCGAGTTGACTGGCGAAATCCTGTGTCGTTCAAGAATCTAAGCGAAAAAACCACCAAACATAATCCATCACCTCCCAGAACTAAAAGAACTTTAACCATCCGCATTATCGTTCGACTACCCCCATCTGATGGGTTATAAGAAGCTTGTTTATTGTTGTGGAAGTTTCATATAGACAAAGGTGATCAAGCTCTGGTAAGAGAGGACCAAGTTTACACCATGTCATCAGCTACTTTTGCAAGATCTTGGACACTAGGACTATCGTATCCAATATATTCCCTTCATATGAAAGAATGTATCAGTGTGCTAGAGTAAGAAAAAAAATTGTATTTCTACATGTAATGTTGATATTATATAAAAAAAACTATATCAGTGGGCTTGCTGCGTAAGGTAGGACTAGTAATATAACATCCTAGTGAATCCAACTCACCAACAAGTTGTATCTTGTAATTCATTCAGCGTCCTCTTGCATATTTCCATCCTTTAAAATGTAAAAAACCATTAACCAGCATATACCTTAAATATATTAAATTAAGTGATTATAAAACAATATTGCTACATATAGCATAGAAAATTTTTGTTTTTAGAGAACATGAACAGCAAGGTTCATATATTCTAAGTCCCTTTGAATTCTAAGTCCCTTTGTGGGGCATCTAATGCTGAGATAAGCATCATGTCAAGAAAAAAGAATTGTTCACA